TGGCTTTTTGACCGGCGTTTCACAGCAGCTCACACAGAGCCCATAGAAATATACAGTAGAGTGGAGCGAGTCTTTTGTAAGTTAGCTCCACCCAGAGGATTTTGATATCTTGGCCAAGCGCGTTGAAGAAAGAAGCAATATGATTGACTGTTGGTAAACTGATTCTAAAATCTGAGAGTATTGTCACATACACATATTCCTAACGAAAAACTTCAAGGTGCCGGAACATCTACTTTGAAAATTCAAGATGAGATTCTGCAAATCCGTGGCCTTTTTGTATACATGTTTTGTTGAGAGGTATTAACCTTATATGTTTTTCTCTATACAGGTAGATTGTTTGCCGTAGACACCATGTCTCACAAAGCAGTTAAACTGTTATTTGTTTGCTCCAGTATTTTCTTAATCTGCTTGATCACAATCTACTGGGGAAGATTTCCATGGCAAGTAAATAAAAAAATGGTCAAAGATGAGAATTATATGATCAATTCTATCATCAATTCTATCATCACATGCCCTACATGTCACTGTGATCAACTCCAAAGCATCATCCAAAATATGAGCTATCATTCGGGCTCGTATGCCAACAAGTATCAAGTGGAAGTCCAGGTCCCAGAAGACACTACTGGTATGTGCATTCACCTTAATGCAGCTCTCCGCAATTGTTTCAATACTTCTGATTGTGGTAGAGAACCGCTCCCGAATTACTTTTTGCGTTCGGATGCTACAAATTCATCATTTTCACATCAGTATTATGAAGCTAATATTATCTATGTCCATCTACCTAAAGCTGGTGGTACGTCTGTTGAGCAATTGTTTACCAAACTATCATCCAAGACACGAAAAGTGCGTACTCGTGCAATATATCACTGTCAAGACCTATTCAAAGAAGGAATTATTTCTAGAAAGATTTCCACACAAACGGTGTACATATCTAAACGCACATATGGAATGCATGATTATGTGTACACAAATAGACCAGTAGCATATGTCACGTGGTTTCGGGAACCAATAGAACGTCTTGTTTCATGCTATTACTATTTGAAGAAGACTAATTGTGCAGGTAGTCATGTGATATGTAAAAAGTATTTAAAAAATACCTCATCACTCACACAATACCTAAAACATAATATACGATTACAGGATATGAGCAACCTCATGGTGCGTCTGTTGCAGTTTGGCGATTTTCCAGAAATCGACGACACTTTTGAAGATTGTTGTGGATCTGTGTCTCTATCTGAAGTTAATAATATACCTGAAGTTGAGGAAAAACACTATCTTGTAGCCAAGAGAAATCTAGAAACAAAAATGGCATTTATTGGTTTGACTGAAGATTTTAAAACCTCTCAGGATATGTTGTCGTACATGTTTGGTATACCGCAAGAAAAGAATATTGTTCACGTAAATGCAAATAAACACAGCGACTCAATCACCGACTATGAGATGTCTGAATTGCGTAAACGCAATAAATGGGACTTGAAATTATACGATGATGCAAAATCGATTTACATGAAACAAAAAAGTCGTTACCTTACATCAGTGAGAAAACATTTATAACAAGTATAGCTGCAAGGTAGCAATGACCTTAACTGTCAGATCAAATCCGTTAAATCATTTTATACACGGAGATAATACAATATAATTATAAATTTCAGGTCATTTGGAAAACCTATTTTACTATAAATTTTTTTTCGATGAATCCAAGATCCAAAAATCCAAACAAATTGCGGGTTGTCTTCAAATCAAACATCACTCAGGTAATGTTGATATACTTGTGTTGATAATACATCAAATATCAGATATTTTGTTGATACCAAGTATTGCATTTATTTCAGAAAAAACAAAATGACCTCAAACCACATAACATATCTGATTTTTATGATCCTTTATAAATATTTTAACAATTCCAGTTTTCTACCAATCGAATATGTCACTAAACCATGTAACCAATCACATGTCAGTTAAATTATGTTGACAATAAATAAATTTCGATTTACAAGAAACAAAAAAATTCTTCCTTACATTAATGATTAAACTTTTATAACAAATATAACTGCAAGGCAGCTGTCATGAATTTGTTTTTGCGTATCTGTTGGTCGACTTAATTAGCTGATTATTAGCAAATTGCTGTGTTATGTCTGTCATCGTTTAGGCCTATTTGAAGTTTTGGACGGAG